CTCGAAACTAACCCCGACACATGGGAGCTGGGCCCGCCTGCAGGGCCAAGGCCACGGCTGCTGTGTGAACACCTGCAAGCACAGCTCTGCCCTGGGAGTCCGCGGGGATCCTGTGTGTGGACAGACTCACGGCCATGGCTGCAGTGTGAACACCTGCACGCACAGCTCTGCCCTGGGTGTCTGCGGGGATCCCGTGTGTGGACGGATTCACTGTGCCTTGCATCTCTAAGGTTGGGCCTTTGCCCTGCGCACTGTGGCAGACATGTAGTGCAGTATACTTCAGTGTCACGCAAAGCGACTCATTCTGAAAATCATACAGAGCAGGTCCTCATTTGCTTCTTCCCTCTGGTCTACCCATCTCTCTGCTCATGGAGAGCTTGCATTTCAACACCGGACAGGCTTCCCAGCCACATTGCACGGCCTGGTGATGGCATGTCCTGCTCACTGTCCTCCGCACACACGGCTGTGCATCAGATGACGCTTTCTAAGGGTCCTTCACCCAAAGTGAAAAGCTGAAACAAGCCAGCACCCTTCTCTCAGAACTCAGACCACCTGAACTCGGTACAGGTGGCGTCACCAGCGACAGTCCGTACTTTGCATTTGCAGATGCGTCTGGGAGGGCAACACATAACACAGAAGACTGACTGGGTGTGGAGAAACGGAGACGTCCCAGCTTCTCCCCGCGCAGGCTCCCCTGGTGCCTTGCTAACACCCTCGCAAGCACACCTCCCGGTTTCGCACACGGGAGGGGTGTCTCACAGAAGGGCAGCGGCCAGGTGTGCACTGGGCTCTGCGCTTCAACGCCGAGCTGAGACTGGGATGATGCCTCAGGACGGATGCAGAGATCCGCAGTGGGGTCAGATGGCTGGTGGAAGTGCAGGTCCGGGAGGAGACGGGATGGAATCACTCTTTGCTGGAGGTTGGCCTCGTGTCTCTCTGACCAGCACAGCAGCCTGTGTTCTGAGCTGTTCCAGGCGTGCAGGGCAGTCACAGGGCAGCCAGAATGCCAAGGGCATGGAACTTCCTGCTTCCGCCCTGCGGTGTGTCAAACCACAACTGCCCAGGGCTGTACCGCCAGCCTGCCGGGAAGCTGCCTTGCTGGGGACAGTTCTGCCACCTGGGACGTCCGTGGGTGAGATGGCCGCTCTCTATCGTAGGGTCCCTGTAAGGTCCTGAAGGTGTAGACCGCGTGGCTCAGGAACAGCCCAGGGAGAACTTGCTGGGAGTGGACTGCGCGCAGCGGAGGGGCTCTGCAGCAAGGCGGGGTTTCGAGGCTGCCAGGGCCAGGTGACTCCGGCGGAGGCCGCCTCTCTGTGAAGGATGGTTCTGTGGTGTGACAAGTTTCCACCGCATGGAGAGCTGGCCTCGCTGGCTCCTGGGGTCCCTGCCCACATGGCCCGTGTCACAGCACAGCGGACGCCTGTCGGACGGTGCGGCGGCTCCCAGGCCAGCGCTCCTGCTCTCACTGCAGCTCACTGCTGGGGCGTCCGTTTCCTTCCACAGAGTCTGGACCGCGTCCGACCGCCGACCGGCTCCCGCAAGTTCTCACTGTGTCAGATGCAGATGGAGGGTCTGGCTCGGGTATCCAGATGGGCTGGGACCTGAGGGGTGGGCAGGCGAGGCCTGGACCTCAGAAATGCAGGAGTTCTCTGAGGGGGACGTGGAGTGAGTGTCAGCTAGGGAGCGGAGGGCAGGCTGCTGGTGCCGTCAGGGGCTGGCTCGGGAGACTGCGTATGCTGCCCTTGGTGCTCAGTACCAGTAAGAGAAGACCTTTCTGCATCACGTATTGCTTTTTCCTGTAAGACCTGTAGGTACCTTCTGCAAAAGCCCACGTCCAGGGTATCGGTAATGAGAAGTTAAAAGCAGTCAGTCTAGAAGGAGTTAACCACCGACTACGTGTGGGAGGTTTCCGAATGGCCGAGGAGACAGCAGAAGCATCCGGGCACCTACACACAGTCCTTTCCTGAACCCAGGGCGCTGCCCGGAGGGCCAACCCTGACTTACCTGGGGGTCCGGGGAATCCTTCACGACCTGGGTCTCCTGGTAAGCCCTTGAGTCCTGGAGCTCCATCAGCCCCTGACAGTCCTGGTAATCCTCTGAGACCTTTGGCACCTGAATACCCAAATACATCACAAGTCACATCGGGTCCCGTGGGGATGGACGGGACACGATCAGGGCCAGCGCCTGGCTTAATGCAGTCTCTGACGGAACGGGGATAACAGGGCTGGGTGACGCCCACCCTAACAGCACCTCTGGTGCATAGAATGATTTTCAGGGTTTAAAAATCCTGTTTAGGGGGCCAGCCAGTGGTGTGGTAGTTAAGGATGCTGGATCCCACATGGTCAGCTACGTGGTTTGAGTCCTGGGCCTGGCAGCTTGACAAACACACAGGCAAGTGCTTGCGTGTGCCGAGATTCTGAGAAGGAGAAGGGATTGCTGTGTGGCCATCCTCCCTGTGGGGTGCTTCCTTGCTCCCTTTCTGTCTCCTTCCAGCGAGCACACGTGCCCTATAGGAACGATACACTTGTCTCCCCTGCTCAGGGACACAAATGACATTCAGGATTTAGATTCTCCAGTGCACTAAGCTGGCTTGAGGCCTGGCCCGCCGCCCCCCCGCCGACCGGCTCCCGCAAGTTCTCACTGTGTCAGATGCAGATGGAGGGTCTGGCTCGGGTATCCAGATGGGCTGGGACCTGAGGGGTGGGCAGGCGAGGCCTGGACCTCAGAAATGCAGGAGTTCTCTGAGGGGGACGTGGAGTGAGTGTCAGCTAGGGAGCGGAGGGCAGGCTGCTGGTGCCGTCAGGGGCTGGCTCGGGAGACTGCGTATGCTGCCCTTGGTGCTCAGTACCAGTAAGAGAAGACCTTTCTGCATCACGTATTGCTTTTTCCTGTAAGACCTGTAGGTACCTTCTGCAAAAGCCCACGTCCAGGGTATCGGTAATGAGAAGTTAAAAGCAGTCAGTCTAGAAGGAGTTAACCACCGACTACGTGTGGGAGGTTTCCGAATGGCCGAGGAGACAGCAGAAGCATCCGGGCACCTACACACAGTCCTTTCCTGAACCCAGGGCGCTGCCCGGAGGGCCAACCCTGACTTACCTGGGGGTCCGGGGAATCCTTCACGACCTGGGTCTCCTGGTAAGCCCTTGAGTCCTGGAGCTCCATCAGCCCCTGACAGTCCTGGTAATCCTCTGAGACCTTTGGCACCTGAATACCCAAATACATCACAAGTCACATCGGGTCCCGTGGGGATGGACGGGACACGATCAGGGCCAGCGCCTGGCTTAATGCAGTCTCTGACGGAACGGGGATAACAGGGCTGGGTGACGCCCACCCTAACAGCACCTCTGGTGCATAGAATGATTTTCAGGGTTTAAAAATCCTGTTTAGGGGGCCAGCCAGTGGTGTGGTAGTTAAGGATGCTGGATCCCACATGGTCAGCTACGTGGTTTGAGTCCTGGGCCTGGCAGCTTGACAAACACACAGGCAAGTGCTTGCGTGTGCCGAGATTCTGAGAAGGAGAAGGGATTGCTGTGTGGCCATCCTCCCTGTGGGGTGCTTCCTTGCTCCCTTTCTGTCTCCTTCCAGCGAGCACACGTGCCCTATAGGAACGATACACTTGTCTCCCCTGCTCAGGGACACAAATGACATTCAGGATTTAGATTCTCCAGTGCACTAAGCTGGCTTGAGGCCAGGCTGGACGGTTTGGTGTGGGTTAGTCCACCTACTCTCAGGATTAAAGGGCTGTGGTCCTCACCGACGTCGCAAAACCAGACACCCCTGCTTTTTCATACATGTTCCCCATTTTTCTCTGGGAAGGGGAGACTTGGGACACAAACCCACCCTTCCCCCTGGAAAGTGGATGTGCAGGGAGAAGGCAGAAGCGAGAGGGAGGAGTCAGGACTGAAGCCAGTCCTGTGGATGGGCAGTCGGGGAGGAAATGGAAACCACTGGCCATGGCCGGGACTGGGAGCGACGGATGGCCCAGGCCCTGCCCGGCCGGCCTCGGGCTCCATGGAGCATGTGGAGTGCGGGGCCTCGGTCCCCTCTGCCCAGCAGGGTGTGGCCTGTGTGAGGTTCCCCCAGAGCCACAGTTGCAGAGTGATAGGGACCCTCGTCCTCACTCTGTCTCCAGCAAAGCCAGGGCCACACTGAGATCCGAAGTGGGATGTTCCAGGGGGACTGAGCCAAGTAGCTCTCTCCTAGAGGTTCCCAGGATGCGGCCCCAGGGCGATGGTCGCTGAGGACATGTGTCAGGTGAAGGGGGACCCAGACTGCGCCCAGACGCCACACGGCTCCTGCTCCCCTGAAGCCCTAGCTGCCAGGCACCCCAGAGAGCGCGGAAGAACTGCGTGTTGAAGGTGACTGCTGGCCCCTCTGGGAGCCGAGTGCCCTGGGAGGGTGCCTGTGACCAACACCCACAGCCAGACAGGGCCACCCATGCAGCCGAGGAGCCCAGACACACGCCGTGAGCAGCGAGCTCTGGTGGGGGCGACTCCGGCGAACCCAGGCCTTAGAGCTGCCCACACTGAGCCCTGGGCACGGGCCAGGTCTGGTGTGATCCCTGCTCCTCCTGTGGGAGTGTGCGGACAGGTGCTGCGTGGACTCCAACGAGCAAACTCAAGCTCCGTCCTTGGTGGGCAGTGGGGGGCTCTAGCGGGGACACCTCGGCCTTTTACTGTTGGACCCTGCGCTCACGGGCACTGGACCAGGCCCTGAAGGTCCGGCCACAATGTGTGGATGTGCTTTTCTAGGTTTGAGTCATCTGAGCACCCGTACCTCCCACTGGCGCAGCCCACCATGGTTTGGGGAGGAACCCAGCCATGGTGTGTCATGAGACGCATCGGGCCCCGGTGAGTCGAGCAGGGACTAGCACACCAGAGCTGTCCTGCCACACCGGGGACATGTCCAAGCCCCACTGCTGACCTGCAGGACAGACCCCGGTGGCCTGGCATTCCCCCGGCCATCACAGGCAGAGGAGAAAACCAACACACAGCGTCCTCCTGCTGGCTCCTGGGGCTCTGTCGCAGAGCTGGCTGTCCTAGGCTGATACCCCGGGTCCCCACGCATCCCAGGGACCAAATTCCCTGCCCACGGGTGCCCGGAGAGCCCTGGCTCTGCTCTGGTCACTCATGTACCCACAGGGCCCTACAGCCTGGCCAGAGAAAGCGGGGTCTGAGGGCAGCTGTGGTCACCAGGCCCCTCTGTGCCCACTGGACATGCGGTGCCAGTGCTGGGAGCAGGTAGCTCCAGACACTAGAATGTTGGGGGAGCCTTGCGTCTGCAGACAGGCGACCCTCGGGGACCGGCTTGCACCTGCAGATAAGAGCCTGGCTCCTCCCGGGTGGGTGGAGACTGCTCGGTTTGCTCTGCTCCCGGCCCCCCAAAGCCCACAGGAAGCATCTCCCACATGTCCTGGAGCAGAAGGCACAGTGGGACGTGCACACAGAAGAGCGCGATCTCGGCAACTGAGCAGTGTCCAAGCACTGCACCAGACCGCGGCCGCCTGACCTCCTCCGGGGCCTAAGGGGGCTCCTGTCCCTGTCTGTGGTGACCACCGAGGGCCTGGGCTGAGGCAGAGAGCTGTAGCAGGAATTTGCCCTTCCAGCCTGGGGTCCGACCAGGTCTCAATGACCACACGGGCTTCGTGACGAGGCAGAGGGGGGGATGAGTGTGCCCAGAGTGCCGAGGTGGGGACCACGGCAGTGTTGAGGCAGGGAGGGGTGAGGAGCAGAGGCAGGGTCAACAGAGGGAAACGGAGGAGCATGTTACCTGTGGGACCCTGGGGTCCTGGCCGGCCTGGAGATCCCTTGGGCCCCCCGACACAACCTGGGGAGAGAGGGGCAAAGATGACCTGAAGTGGTGGCTGCCCAAGTCTCGAGGGGCACACTCCGGCCTTGCACGTTGGCTCCCACTGTGTGACCGGGCAGCCTAGGGATTTGATTCATCTCTGTCCCGACGTAATAGAAGTTTGATTTCCTAGTGTGAGAAGATCAGGTATTAGTATAAAATGCAAATTAAGTAAGTCCAGTCGAATAAAACTGGCCCTGGGCAGCGACGTGGTCCCTCCCCTCCTGGAGGACACCCACCAGGGAACCCCTCCACCCTGGCTGGTTGGTCTGGGCTGTCCCCAGCTGGTCCGCACGGCAGCCTTTCTCTGATACGGGGACGTCTACAGAGGCTGAGGACAGCTTGCGAGCCTGAAAGGACTTTCAGCTCCTCCTTAGTGACTCAGTATTTCTGAATGACTGCAGCAATGCGATGCTTTGAGCAGTGTGGAGTTAAACAGGGCTGCCAGCATGCTGCGGCGTGGCTGAGCGCTGGCCCTTCTGCAGGGTAGCTGTGGTCTGGCCCTTTGGGGGAGGCTCCCTGGCCTGCACGGGGTCTGCGTGAGAGGGCGCTGGAGGTCTCCCTGGCCTGTATGCCTGGGAATTGTGGGGCCAGGCTCCCACTGGCCTGACGTGGAGGCCGAGTGTGGACAGTGGTGGCCACAGTGAGTGGAGCCCGGCCAAGAGCACCTGGGCTGTCCAAAGGGTAAGGGGAGCCTGCGAGAGGGCTCGTCAAGTTCCTGTCTCTACAGGAGCCTGCCGGGGCCATGGGCCACACAGACCCAGTCGCTCTAGACAGTGGCTTTATACCTGGACATGCCAGGAGGCAGTGGGCCACCTCTCCACTGGGCACAGCGGTGTGACCACACGCTGTCAGTGCCCCCAGATGTCTTGGCTTCCTAATCTCCTCCCCTTGTCCACTCATTACCTGCTGCCCTTGCGTCCTGGTGTAGCTCTGAATCGCTACGTGTCCAGGACCTCGTGTGGCCGGTGCCCCAGTCATGACCCTCTTTTGTCCAAGTCTACGCACCCTCGTTGCAACCAAACGTGAGTGTAACTCTGCAGCCTGCACGCCCTCCTGGCCCAGCTCGGGAGCAGTGTCTGCTCCAGCAGGACGCTCCTCAGCCACTTCGACGGTGGGTGGCCACGGGCGTGATGCTACCTCTGTCTCCTTGAGTCCTCCCTGCAGATGCCCCCATGGCCTCACCGGGATGGCTGCCGGCCTCAGCCAAGCCTCCTGCCCACCTCCCACTAAGTCCCAGTGACACGCCCGCCTGTGACTCCTGGCCTACCCCTGTGCATGGCCCAGCCCAGGCTGCTCTGTCTGAGTCGGGAGGCTGCCCTGTGTCTGGGGCCCGTCCACAGTAATTCTGTGCTTGGAGTGCTGAGTGTGCCAGCCCCTTCTCCTTCCTGACCTAATGCTGGACCACTGCTCATGCCCACGTGGCCCTCTTCCCCGCTGACCCAGCAACAGCCTGGCTCCCAGGCTGTGGCACAAATCCGCTCTCTGTGGCCGTGCCGGCTCCTTTCTCTCTAACCAGAACGTGGGCATCCCAGGCCTCTGGCTTCCTTTTCTCTGCTCCCTACATCAGGGTTGCAACTGGCCAGCCCAGGGTCTGAGAAAGGAAGGATGCAGGAAGGATCCTCGTGAATGGACCGCTTTCTGGCGTCTCTGAGGCTGTGGAGCGTCCTAGAGCTCACTGAGGCCTCTGAGCAGGGCAGAGGCTGACGCTGCTCCTAACCGACCTTCACCTAGATCAGATGCTGGCCTGGACTTTCAGCTGCCACTCTGCAACTGCCACCATCCAGATGTCCTACCAACCCCTGCGCTTCCGCACCAAAATCGTTCTCTTCCTTCTATCTTCGAAATCCTGACCTGGGTGGGCGTTCCACACGCACCCGGGGCTCCCCTCCCCGTTCTCCCCTTGGGTTCCTACATCTGCTCTGGGGACTGCGCCTGCCCTGTGCCTGTCGCCTTCCTGCATCTCCACTCTGTCCTGCCTCTCAGCCCTGCCTGGGAGCGTCTGCAGGTTTCCTTGTGTGGTCACCTGTGCTCTTGCTCACATTCTTCTATTTCCAGGCAAAATCTCGCCCTCCTAACGGACCCGACGAGCTCCACCCTATGCGCTGAGCGAACAGCTCACACTGCCTTGCAGCACTCGGAGGTGGCGGTGTCCCCGTACCAGCGTCTGCCCGCTAGCCACTCTGACTAGCCTTATAAATGATGCAGGTTTGGTTCACGTTTGTGGGTGCGATCTGATGACAGTGTTCTGTGACGTTTGCCTTTTCTGAGTCCAGCTGGAGCCGGTGGGGGCCAGCGCACATTGTCACTCCTGCTCAGGGCACACCGTGGGCACTGCAGGTGGCCGACGCGTCATATACTCTACCAGCTGGCAGTGTGTGGGTGCCGGGCCCTGCTCCTCAGTACCGTACCTGGCTGCACGGGCCGTTGTCCATCCCCTCCGAAGGGCCTCTTCACGCCGGAATCACAGTCTGCGGAGAGACACGGTGAAGGCATGAGGCAATTTGGAAACTGGGAGTTAAGGATATATGTACGGCATGTACACGTCAGGGTGTGTGTGAGGGCATGTGTGAGGGTGTGAGCCAGCTGCCAGGAGGCCAAGTGTGGGCACAGAGTTGGAACTCTGTGTGCGGCCTCCGTAGCACCAACCCTACAGGGAGAGGGCCCAAATTTTAGCTGCCAGGGGAGCCATGGCCGGGTGAGTGTTCATGTCAAGGGGTGAAGCCACGCAGCACCCACGTCTGAGCACCGCAAGATCACATGTGGGTCTAGGGGAGTGGGGGCGTGGAAGCCCTGATGGCCTGAGAAGAAAAAGGGAGGGTCTCCGTACCGATTTGTCCTGGGGTGCCCGGGGGGCCAGGAGGCCCGGGGAAGCCTGGTGGTCCGGGTAATCCGGCGTCTCCAGGGGTACCACGCAGGCCTTTCGGGCCCGGTAAGCCCAGGCCTGGAGGGCCCATTTCTCCTGGGAGGCCCTTGGTTCCAGGAGCTCCGGAGTGCCCTGTGTCCCCGGGGGGGCCTTGGATGCCATCGCCCTGTGTGAAGATTTGGTTTCTCTTACAATACAGACCCCCCCACCCCTGTGACCACTACTTCCCAACCGCCTCTCTGCATCTTCCTGGGGTTCTGTGCCATGGACACAGGACAGGAAGATGATGGAGTCGCACAGGAACCTACAGCTAGGGCTGACCCAGGCACAGGAGCCGACGGCCCTCAGATCTTATCCAACCATGAGGAGCGGAATGAGCGACGATTCTAGAAGACACTAGCTACGGATCTGATGCTTGTCCCCTTCCCAGATACTGGTTTTCCTGTGTCCAACTGGACCTCCATCCACGGAGAGTTACACCTCTGCGTGAGGAGCAGGAAGGCATTGGTTCAGGCAGACAGGACAGGAATGCACGACTTTTGCCGACTTAGTCTTGTGACTGCCTACTATGTGCAAGGATGATATTTTGCTGAAGGAAAGGAAACTAATTTCTACAAGAAAAATCAAGCAGGCAGCTCGCTGGACACAGGTGAGATCACAGGGTTGGAGGAAGAGAAGCCGGTGTGCTCGCGATGCCTGTCCCAGGGGTGAGTGCTCCAGGGACAGGGCAGGGGTGGGAGCTGGGGACAGGGCAGTGGGGTAGGAGCCAGAGACGGGAAGGGATGACGGCCACATAGTCCCACCCATAGGACCATGGTGCGGGGCTGCACCCTTGCGCCTGCATATCTGAGTGAGGGGTAAGTAGCCGACGGCCGTGGGGTGGCAGAGGGGCCACAGTGTGCGGAGAAGGAACCGTCCCACTGCTGTGACTTCCCCTCTGTGTCCTTCCTTTGTGGGATGCTGATTAAATGACACCCCCCGATTTCGCTTCCTCAATTTGGGAGGTTAATGACATAGACTTTGCAGTCCACAGTCCCCTGCAGAGGTCAGTGGGCCCCTCAAACCCTAATTGTAGGCAGTGACAGGAACTGGACCCCTTTGTCGTCCTCCAGGTGAGATTTACTAAGATTACTAATTGGAGAATCATCCAGGCTGTCTGGCCCAAGAAACCCAGACTTGAAACACGCTAGTGAGTAAGGGACCAGGCTGTGCTGACCAAGAGGCCGGGGTGTGGAACCGGGAAATGAGCCCGCAAGGAGAATTCAGAGGGGAAGTCCTGAAGGAAAGGTGTGGGGACTGAACTGTCCCCCAAGCTGGTGCTGAAGTGCCAATGCTGTCCCAGCACAGGGTACTGGACCTGGAAGTAGGGTCTCTGGGGATGACCGACGTGAGACGAGGTCTCAATGTGGTCTTCGTTCCAACAGGACTGACCCCGCCCCCATCAGAAGGGGGAATGGACGGGGAGACAGACACGCAGAGCGAGGAGGGCGAGAAGCGCAGGGAGGCGCCACCGTGAGCCCCAGAGGGTCGCGGAGCTCAGGGAGGCTGCAGCAGGCTCTCCCACAGCCTGGCTGGACATAGCCCGCCACGCCCGACTGCAGACTCGGCCTCTAGGGCTGCAGGAAGAGGTTCTTGCTGGGAAGCCCCAGCCCAGGGGTGCGTTCACAGCAGGCCCGGGACCCTGATAAAGAGCTGAAGGAGGCAGTCTGGAAGCCCTGGGGAGGACATCCGCATGGAGGAAGAGGAAGAATTGAGAAGAGGCCAGTGGCATCCTGGGAAGGGAGTCCTGGGTTCCAGGCGGGAAGGCATCGCGGCGAGCGTCGGGATGGGAGGGTGGGCAGTGGGTGGACTGGGCAGTTCCACCTTCACCCAACCTTCCCGAGGAAAAGGGACTGGGTCTCTGCAGGTTATCAGAATCCTCTGGGAAAACCGATCCCGCCACCCATTCTAAAAGATTCCAACGGGGGAGGGGGGGCTCATTCTACATGATTTACTGGTTGACTTTCAAGTGTTCAAACATCACTGGCCTGGATTCTGCCTTTCTCCATAACCCCAAAGTCTGTCTGTTAGAATTGAATGGCCCGTGTGCACAGGTTGGCGTGGTGCTGGCACCAATGCCAGCTGCTCCTCAGGGGTGCAGAGCACGGACAGTCAGGACATGGACGTCTACAGATTGTGGCTACTCACAGGTGGGCCCGGAAGGCCAGGGAATCCATCCAGCCCATCCTGTCCTGAGAGGCCGTCGTCACCTTTCATCCCAGGCACTCCTGGGACACCTCGCTGTCCCCTTTCACCTGGGAAAAAATTTGTGTGACTCCATGGATGCCATGCACCCACAGAGAGGCCGGGTGGCCCAGACCCTGGCCGTGGAGCACTGACCTTTGGTGGTGATGGTTCTCGAATCTCCCTTTATTCCTTTGGGGCCAGGAAGTCCGATGAGGCCAGGGGCCCCCTGTGGAAACAAACACAATGGATTTTTCCTTTCAGACTGTTCAGGACATCCAAGAAGGTAATGAGTTTCCAGCCTGTACAGCTGAGAACAGTCCCCTGCCACCGAGCCCAGCACTGCCCTGAAGGAGTTTCCATGGTGCTTGGCATGCCCTGCACTGGCTGCCCACGAGCGCCATGACCACAGCAGCTCCAAGCATTAGAATTGTGGATAGAATTAAACATTTTCTTCTATTTTAATTAACTAGGAAGTAATGGGAGTAGCCCGGGGTGGTGAGACACTGAAAACCTGGAGCCCTGCTACTTTGAGTGTGAGCTGTGGCCTGGCACCGTGGGCATCGCCTGGGAACTGGTTGCAGATGCAGATGTTCAGGCTCCACCCTGCAGCACGTCTCAACCCGGTCCCCAGAGTGCTCAGGCTCAGTACTTTGGACAAGCCTGATCTAATACCACGCGGGCTGCTTGCTCCCAACTGCAGTCAGGAAGATCTGAGCAGGTAGGAGACTCCCATATGAAGGACCCAGATTGTAGTTTGTTTCCCAAACTGAGGTGTTGGTGTGGGCCAAAGATATTGGCGAGAAGCTGACTGCAGGGACTCTCACATTCAGGAGGTAACATCTAGCTTGGTTCTTGTGGAGCAGGACGAGCAGGTCAGGGGGCTGGGTGGGTTGACGTGCTCACTTGGCAACTCTTGGTGGATGCTTTGCAAGAATATGGGAACTCCTCGCATTGCTTAATTAAATGGATGTTATGAGCTCTTTCTTCTGGAAAATTTCATTGATACTTGATTTATTGATTTAGTTCTTTCCAGAAAAGAGCGACTTTTTAGTATCTATGAAATGGTGTTTCCCCACAGACGGTAAGTACGTGTGGGTTGGGTGTGTGAGTGAGCGGATGAACCTTGTCGACTGGCTCCTACACTTTGAGCACTCTGCCACTCTATCAGCAGAAACAGCAAAACAAAACAGAAGGCCCTCATCATCTCAGGCCCTCCTCTGCAGTGGTGCTGCCAGACACATGAACGTGTGATTACACGCCAGACAGCAGACACAACCAGGAGGAGGTCTGAACGAGAGTTCCGTGGGCAGATGAATAACCCAACTGGGAAAGCGAGGGCAGGGGGAGATCTCAGGTACTTCAGGGGCACAAGGTGGGATCTACTGGCTTTCAGATCATCGATGTCTTCCACACAAGCAGCGCTCCTCCCAGCCTTGCCAGGAGAGTGTTCATGGTCCTCACTCTGTGCACTTGCTCTGGCGCTGAAGGGACGTGTCCTGGTTAGATGGCCGTGCTTCTGCGAGTGCTGTTCTTCAAGTAAGATAACGCGTAGTGCTGCTAGCTTTTGTTAGATCTTCTCATTCATTTTCTGAGAAACCCAGGGCATGGTGACCCATCTCCGGCAGTGCTGTGCGGCTCTAGCTGTCTGGCCCCACACGGTGCCCAATGGCCTGAGCAGCTCTTCCCCTTCTATGACCAAATATATGAAACAAGGGACTCTTTTCTTTATAAATCTGCAGTTTTCTTTTTAAATAATAGCAATGAATAACAATATAGAAAATATAAGTTCCTTACCTACATTTGAAATTTGCTTTGAAATTTCCGGGGGGGGGGGGGGGAGGCCAGCAAGTGGCCTAGTGGTTAAGGCGCTAGGCTCTCATATAGTCAACTGTGGTTCAAAGTCCCTGACCTGACAGCTTGAAAAAAATCACACTGGGTGCATATACGTGCATGCCCCCAATCCCAGAAGAGAATGGAGGAGAGGGGATTGCAGTGTAGCCATTCCCCTGGGGTAGTGATTGCTCACTTGCCTTTTCACTCTCCCTCTGTCTCTCTCCAGTGAACCCACATGTTCTATGGCCAAAAAACTCCAAAACCAAA